ATAGCAAACTGACAATACCATGGCAAAAAAATTAGAAACAAGTTAAAAATAAAAAAAAAAACAAAAAACCAAAACGATATACAAAACACAACATAGAAAACTAAAGACGGAGCAACCTTTATCGAACCAAAAATCGGATGTGGATCTCAGGTGTTTTTGCAGGGCAGCTAATCTTGCTCAACATGCGAAACCCGTCTTGTTACTGTAAATAAAGGCAACAGTAGTATACCGGTGTTCAAAAGTCATAAATCGATTTAGAGAAAACAAATCCGGGTTACATACCAAAATCGAGGGAAACACATCAACTATAAGAGGAAAACAAAGGAACAAAATGAACACCGAAGTGCAACAAAAACAAACGCCAACAAACATAGAAACGAACTATTTGATAACAACTGCCATATTCCTGACGTGGTACAGGACATTTTAAGAAAAAATGGTGGGTTGAACCTGATAACATGGCATGCCAAACCTCCCACTTTACGACAATGTTAAAATATATCGCTAAAACACTACGTGACAGAAATACAGCACACACACACAAGCACATTTATAACAGAGAAACGCACAAACAAATAATATAATAGTCGACACAACATACAAACCACAGAACAACAACGAATATATTCTCCATCAACGAAAAATACGTTGATAAAAGAGGAACGAAAGATACCAGAGGGACAGTCAAACTCATAGATCGAAAACAAACTGACAACGCCATGGCCAAAAATAAAAAGACAAACAGACAAATAATAGTACAGATGACACAACATAGAAAACTAAAGACTAAGCAACACGAACCCTACCAAAAACTGGGGGTGATCTCAGGTGCTCCGGAAGGGTAAGCAGATCCTGCTCCACAAGTGGCACCCGTCGTGTTGCTTATGTTATTACAAATCCGGTAAATAGTCTAATTCGGTAAGTCACATTCGTGAAAAGGGAAGGGTATTGTAGTTACGACATAAGGAACAAATCCGATATCATCTGTGAAACGGTTATTCCATAACGGTCAACCAACTCCGGGTTACAAAAGTTATGTCAAGTGATTAAGTACTGTGTGTTTTTGTGAAAATAAAGAGAGAAGTATCACAACACGTCTTGTAATTCATTGATCGTAAGATGTTTATTTCTACTATGTTTGTTCCTCGTTTATTTTTTTTAGCATAAATGAGGCTGTTGTATTTTATCTTTTGAGTTGATATCCGTTTTCTTAAAAATTTCATGTGAAGATACCAAGACATTGCTGATAAAACTTCCGTATCAACTTCACAAATATTACATGATGGTCTTGAAGTATAAAATAAAGGTACTAACCTTATTTATCATCTTAATTACGTGTTATAGTGTTCTTTTATTTGTCTTATATATTTTTAATCATTACTGTTTAGTCCATTTTTGGTATATACTTTTGGCGTGGCAAAGTATTTATACATCCCACCATTGTGTTATTGTGCTAAGGTAATTTTTGTATTCTTGTCTTTCATTTTTGCTTATCTTCTTTGTCTATAGAGTGCCTATATGCCATTTTGATTTTGTTGTTGTAATAGTTATTTGTCGTTATAGTGTTGACTACTGTATCCCATTTTTGACATTTTTACCTATTACGTCTGCTCACACATTATTGTCAATATAATGGAATTCTATATGACTGTCATTCAAGTGAGAGGTTTAGCTAGCTTTAAATCCAGAGTTAATCTACAATTTTCTACATAAGGAAATGCCTGTACCAAGTCAGGAATATGACAGTTGTTTTCCATTCATTTGATGTGTTTGAGCTTTTAATTTTGCCATTTGATAAAGGACTTTCCCTTTTGAATTTTCCTTGGAGTTCGGTATTTTTGTTATTTTACTTTTTTCTCATTTCATCATACTTGAGCCTCTTATTATGTAAATGATGAATTGGTGATTGGCTCTATCCTAACCCCAAAACGTCACCAAATTAATAAACTATCGGACAAGTAAATGTTCTAAACCCGAACTTGATCGAAAATCGAAATTTGAAATAGAAACACGTTTTTCATTGCTTAAGATAGATGAAACTATTGCCTGTTTGAACAACACTGGAATTGAAAACTAAAAGAAAAAAGCCATAAGGAACAACACTCTGAAACTGTGTCCTACTCCACATGTGACACCCGTCATACTGCTCAGGAAATTAAAAACCCGACGATAAGTCTAATTCGGAATTTCACATTCGGGGAAAGGAAGACGGATTTATGTTACGATGATTGGAGCATATCAATCGTCATCTGTGAAAAAGATATTTCCTAACAGTCAACCACCTCGTGATGGCATCCGTAACATTTTCAAAGGAATGATTTTAATTTCATCATTGGAACACTTGGTTCAAAAGCTGCCAAGAAACCAATATAGCAAATGGTAGTTCAGGAAATCGTATCAACTTGACGATATATACTGTAGAATATGACTTTTATTATGGTTAACACGGAAAGGAAATACGAGAAAGTAGGAAGTTATTAAAAAAGTTATCATTCTCGTATAACTACCCATTTTTGACACCCCAGTAATATTGCTGCACAACAATTCATTTATATGACTAAGAACAAGTAATCCGTATCACTTTAAACGGTAATGGTTTACTTTTATAAATTGTAACTTGGGTGGAGAGTTGTCTCATTGGAACTCATACCACATCTTCCTATATCTAATAACGTGTTTAAAATAATCAATTTTGTAAATGTAACCATATCTCTTTATCGTAGTATACAACAAATAGCATCAAAGTACTGCCATTCTCTTTACGTTTAATTAAAAGACGAATTAACGATATAACGTTTAACGAGCATCGACAATTTAACCATAACAAGAGACCTGGGGGACTTGGTTACTCATAGAAGAGACACACTTCTGTCAAAGAGAGGCGAAAGATACCAAAGGACATTCACACTCATCAGTTGAAAATGAACTGACAACTCTATGGTAAAAAAAAAAGAAAATAAAAAACCAAAAGACAAACATTATACAAAACACAAGATAGGAATTAAAGGCTGAACAACACGAATAGTGGTCAAGTTGTAAAACTGATGTCTAAATTACACACCCGCTTTAAATCAAATCGTCGTATTTGTATTAACACCGGATGTGCCTTTACTCATACACTGACATTTTTTACCAAAACAAAATTTGCAAAACAGGTGTTGCATGTACAACAAGAGACATTTAACAGGCCAATATTGCTGTCAACGCATACACTTTTGCTTTTTGTAGGTGTTCAGTACATTTCATTTATGAAGGTTTGTCATCAGGCTTGTATATTGAATATTGATTAACGAGATTTGCTTAATACTATTCCCTGGTATTTCATTTTCTTATTAAAAAGCAATCCTTTGGCTTGACCTTTCAGTTTTTAATGTCTGTATAACGTTGCCTTGATATGTAAAATGAGAGTATATCATCCTGCTACATCTTGTTTATCAAACTGACTATGATCGTTGTAGTTAGTTTATGTTTGTACATCTTTTTCTAAAACGAATCAATCGATAATTGATTAATTGGCAATGAACGTCACTTTCAGCACTATTGTGCTATTTTGGGATGTCATTTTTTATTGGCGAAGGTAGCCGAAGCGACCAGTGTGCATGAGAGAACCCCCGGCCTTTGGTAGGAAAACTGACAAAATTAGTCAATTATGATTTGAGTCGAGCGCACCTGCCTTTTGCGGGATACGAACTCACGACCTCAGTGTTGACAGGCTAGTGATACAGTAGTTTGAGTACTTAGCATATACAGCCACCATGGCCCCTACGAGTCAACCGAACATAACTTTTTATTGTATTGATATGTGTTTTATTAAATTTGTCGTTCATGTATTCATATTAAATGTTTTACAGGCAGCCGATTTCGATTTATTTTAGAACCCTTGTATCGTTGATTTGTGTTTATCGCTTGTTATGTTTTTGTTGTATTTCAAATGTGATTTGTAGACGTATATATTAAACTTTGTATCAAGGAAAAGTATAAATAAACGTTTTACCCGTAAAAGAACTTTTGTTTGTTCAAAGAAGCATTTAACGAAATGGTTCGTACTGTTGACTCACTTGTTTCACTTTTCAATTTTTACACCCAATACTGTTCCAAAACTAAACATGATTTAGTGTCGAATTTAAGGTTGCATGCATACGGATTGAAATGAGTTTGGATTCTTGACTTGCAAGCCAATACAAAAAAAAAACAAAAAAAAACGCCATTATATTTAAATTTTTTTGTCTAAATCGTCCAGTGTAAAATATTTTATGTATGTTCAGGACGAGAACAAATTCAGAATAAATACATTAAGTAGTCTACTGGAGGCCGTCCGGGTTGATGAAATTGAAGTGCAACAGAAAAATTATGGTTTATTTGATAAGAACAGAAATGGTACCTTGAAGCAAGCCACCTACGGACCCTTCAAACAGTAGTTTCAAGAGTTCTTAACGTGCATAAATTGTGACACTCTCTTTACATAAGGCATCGAATCTAACGTCCCTATTCTGACCGGACTTGATTTCGTATTTGTAAATTCCGCACAACCGAACGGACGCTCTACTATGGTAATGGCTTCATACTGTCAGAAAAATATCTGATTGACCATATTTCTATTCCCAGTCATCCTTGGGAGTGTATACGTTCAAAACGTTACCATTTGATATAATATATAACATTGATTGTTGTCCATCAAATAAACTTTTATACAGCAACGCCACATTGACAATGACCTTATATGATATCGAGTATAAACATTGCAAAAAGGAAAAGAATAAAAAAAAAAAAACATATGTAACTTTATCAAAGATGGACTGAAAAGTATTTAAAAATATATATTATGAAAGAATATTTTTTTCTTTTGATTTTAAAATGGCTGTTTTAAAAGTCGTGTCGAATCTCTAATGATCAATCAAGTTTAATTGTGTAAGCATTATCAATCAGAATCAAAGTGTTTCTGATTACATCTTAAGGTATAAATACAGATCTAAGCAGTCGTATCACCACACTTGCTTAAAACCATCAAACAAAAGTAGCCATGGATATGATAACTTTACTGTTGTGGAGTTTTGTCGCAGCTGCATATAGCACGGTGAAATCTGACCAAGGATATGGTGGTAAAAGAAGCATTGGGCATGTCGGTGGTGGCAGAGGATTGGGATCAGGCGGTGGTGCCGTAAGATTGGTATTAGGCGGAGGAGGAGGATCCGGCGGTGGTGGAGAAGGAAAAGGAGGTCAGTTTATGTAACAGTAATTGTTTTTTTTTAAATTACCAGTACTTAATTACTACTTTGATATATAACTGAAAAAGAATCTCCATGAACTATAACAGGATCATTATTCTCGAATATCAATTAAGTAAGGCATGTTAAATGTCAATTATTTAAAAAAAAATCATGTTATGTCTTTAGTGAGTAAGATAAAACGTTCTTTATAGAATCGTGCATCAGCATTATAAATTTATAAATGAAAATGGTTGCTATGTTTCCTTGCAATTTCAATTGGAATTGTAGAATATTTGTTCTTTTGCATTTACTGTCTAAATCAAAACGTTTATCCTAGTAAAGCCTGTACGATATTTAAAATAAATTTAAATTTAATGAATAGATATCAATAAATTTCTACAAACGTATCGACCAGATACACCAATTTCATCATGAAACCTGTATATCTCTTATCATTAACAGTGGCCTAATACTCACTCGTCTTATGATCATTATTTTGTTACTGATGGGACAGTAGGTTTTAAACATTGCTTCAAAGTAAGTTACATTATTTTTAATGTCAGTCATTTGATAATCGATACACTAATATACGTTTTGAATACAATTCTATGAATGTTTGCCATCGTTTTATATAGATGGGCGCGTGTGGTGTACCTGTCGTCCAGGACAATGTCTAAAAGGAGAATTTCGTTTGGACAAACAATGCAGACTTACCAAATTGTTTCCTTGGAAATGGTATACATGCTGCAAGGTGTTAAAAGTAACTAGCCGTAGTTACGCTGGAGGAATCAGTGGTGGAGCTAGATTTGGAGGTGGGGCAGGATATGGGGGCGGAGCAGGATATTTCGGCGGAGCTGGATATGGTGGCAGAGCTGTATATGTAGTTAAATCTGGATATGGTGGCGGATCTGGTTATGGAGGAGGAGCTGGATATGGTAAAGGATCTGGTCATGGAGGTGGTGCTGGATATGGAGGAGGATCTGGATATGGCAGTGGGAATTCATATATTGTTGTGGCAGATGGAGGTTCCGGTGGAGGTTCTCGTGGAGGATATTAATACTAAATATGTTTCGTCTGACAACACAAATTATGTTTAAAAATGAATATAAATTGTCGTATGTAAAACTACAATTAAAAATATTTTAATGCATAATATTCTTTAACTATTAATGGCAAATCAAACATCTTTTTGGTCAGGACAAGGTTATATACATTATAATGTTTTCACTGAAAAAATCAATGCTACGGATTTATTTAAGAAATTCCTTGAATGAACATTTTGTACCTCAAACCAGAGTTCAAATTTGTATCCCTGTAGGTTTTGTGGAACGTTGATTAGATGTGAATATTATTTTATGCATACCATGCATTATTTGATTTCCTGCATTACAGTGATTACACAAAATACCACACCCGAGTTTTTAGAGGCTTCTTCAACTTGATATTAAAAGATTCTTTAAATTTTCGACTTTTTGCTTTTTTAAACATGATAAAGAAACATTTAAAAAAATTATGACTATTGAATGTGAAAAAACACTTGTTTTCCTAACGTTCCTAACTTACATCGAGCATCCGGACTTTTTGTTTGGTTGAGTTCGTGTTGCACAGTCTTAAGTTTTTTATTTTGTGTTTTTTAAATTGTTATGTGTCCTTTGGTCTTTTGTTGAAGGTATGTTCTCGGCTTATGAGTTTGAATGCCCCTTTGATATTTTTCGCTTCTCTTTTTAAATATGATTTATTCATTATATGTTATGCGTTGAACGTCTTTATTCATTTTTTGGTCTTTGAATTTTGAAAAACAGAATGCATGGTTAGTTATACAATGTTAACGTGTCTAGACTAAAGAGAGGAATAAGTCCTCTTTCTAAGATCATTAACGTTTAAAACGTGATGATATTGTCTAGACTTCGAATAATTAAAATTAAGGTAGCTAATTTGCAAAACAAGTTGTACTTCTTCAGTGTTCTTTGAATGATGATTTTCTGTTCAAATGGTAGTTCAATTTGACTTTGTCAATCAGAGATAGATGTAAACCAGAGAATAATTACATATCGAACCCAATTTAAATAAAACAACACATATAAAGCTACGACAACAGGATTTGTACTATAACCATCGAAGATATAATCATGTGCAAATCTCATCTTCTCAGAGAAGCGTTGTTTTTTTATGCATAATGGCATGTGGACGAAAATGTACATGATGTGTTACAATATCTTATTTTGGCGAATTTAATAACATATATTATCTGAAACTTCGTTAAGGACAAGATATTAGTTTCAGTAGTTCTGTTTCCTAAAACACAGAACAGAGGCAAAACATCTATTGATGACCGTAAAAAGGCCGCAGGTTTGCATTTATCAAAACCAATATTTATAACACAAATATAAAAGTAGACAGAATATAAATAAGACTTCGAACGAACAATAATATCGGATGGAACATTGAATACTAAATATACATGATATACAATCTTCAACAAAAATCGAAGTTACTGTTTCATATAAAATGTATCCTCACTAAGTAAAGAAAATTAGTATGTACCTCTGCCATGAACTATATTCGCCTCTATAATAAACATCGAGAGATGAAGACCAGAAGGATCTTCACATTCCTGTGTCACAAACCACTTTAGGCTACTGGACTACAACATGTACAACAAAGTTCAATGCCACGTACAACAAGCCCACTTTTTGATTGAGGGAGTTGAAACCTAAGTTTTTTGAAAAGTTTTGTAGGATATGGTAATATCAAGTTATAAATCATGTCAGTATCATTACACTGACTACTTAGCTTAACTAACTGTCTACCAGCTGAGGTATCGGACAGTGTTATTAAGATAACTGTCTTTCGCTTAAATCTGCAAATTTTGAGACCAATTGTGTAAGATTGGTTTATTTGAATACAAAAACATAAGTGATTTATTGCATTCTTAGACTGTCATAACAAAAACTAAATAGTTGTTATTGTTCAATTCAAATTTTCGACTTGGCCATATAATGAGAGATACTGTGACGGCATGGCTTAGTGGTAATTTTAACTACATTTGTAGTATGTATTACGTTCGTTTGACTTCAAAATAAAGTTACCAAATTGAAACTAGTTAACCAAAGAAGATGGGCAAGACTAAAGGAAGTTTTCATATTTTATTGATGCTTCAAGAGTACATGTAAATAATTAGATAATGGAGCAACCGTTTGAGTTGTACTCTGTACTAAACATTTATATTATAATGGCTACTGCATATGAAGAAATATGGGAGAAATCTCCACTTGGCTCAACTGGCTTTCATACTGTCTATATACTAGTATTATATTATTTCGGACAGTCTATATATCATAGTACACATACGTGTAGTCAGCCATAGGTCAGTTCACTGACCGGCATAAATTATAGCATATATTTTATAAACTCTTCAGATGGTTCAATCATAAATTCTTTTAATGCAAGTAGCTCATCATTTTCATTTCTTTCTATGTAAACGTCATTTACTGCCTCACAATATCCCGGAATAATAAAATGATCTGCTGCAGTTACTTTCCTAATTATTTCAGATTTCTTAACTTGAATACAAGGTAAAGAAAAACCTTTTAAATTAATCACCCCTTTGTTAAGTAAAATATATGCAGGTCCACCCTGTTGCCTTTGCAAAATATCAATTCCCAATAGACATTGATCTTCAATATTAGCCACTTCTGTTTCTGCCACTATTTCTAAAGATCCTAATATATTATTAAAATTTGTTTGCCTAATTACTAAACACTTTCTCCACTAGCACCCGTTAATGGTGAAGTTTTTCTTAGTTTAGGGCGTTGCAATAATGGAATCTTATTAAAAATCTTCTCTGATAAGACTGTTTTACAAGCCCCTGTGTCTGCAGTAAAGATAACATCAACACCTTGTATAAACCCTTTGACATATATTCCATCAGGCATTTTAATGTTACCACTTAAATTAAAATGTTTAATACAATATTGCTTTTTCTTATTATAAATTGTGTGGTCACTTTCCTATTGGACCTTCCCCTGACCACTGGGCTCAGTCCTTTCTAGTTTAACTTCTTTTTATACATGTTATATCTAAATCCGCTATTAAAGCTTTGCCTATCATTTCTTTTTTCTTGATTCTGGGTATTTCCCCTTTTCCAACAATTTCTAGCTATGTGACCCTCCTTTCCACTACAAAGCAAAGTTCGTATGTCAGACTTACTTCCCTTAACATTATGCCCTAACTGCTTATAATCTTTATCAAAAGTTTCCTTGTCTTCCTTCTGGCTATTTAAATTCTGAAGTACTAATTTTACAATTGCTTGTACCCTTTTATCTTCACTACCTGGAGCACTTTCTAATTTATTTCCCTTTAAACCCTCATTTTTTTCTTCTTTTTCTTTTGCAACTTTATGGACAGTTTGTATGAGTTGTACCCCCTCCCTACTGTCTTCATCTGAACTATAATCTATTTCATCTACAGGGTTTACTTCTACTTTCCTAGTTTGCCGCCTAGGCTTTCTTTCATAGTAAGGATCAGATTTTAATAAGCGTGCTTTTGTTTCAACAATATTGACTACATGAGCAACCGCCTCATCAATATCATGAGGTTCCTTATTATATTCTACTTGAAACCGAGCTGTGTCATCTTGAAGCCAATCGAAGAACCTTCTTAATACATCTTCCTTTCCTAGCGGGGTAAGCTTGATCATATAAGCGTTTCAACTCAGCAGCATACACCTCTACTGATTCATGAGGGTGCTGATTTCTATGACTAAATTTAACCCCAAAAGTTTTTGAAGTTCCAATAACTCTATATCTACTATTCAATTCATCAATTAACAAGTCATAGTCTTGTCTTACTCTTCGAGGTAATTGACCATAAGCAAAACCCCTGCTTGACCATGCAAACTTTGCAGTAACTCATCTAATCTATCATTTTTATTCCACCCCCTTCTATCAGCTACTTCACTAAATCTACTAAACCAGACTTTCCATGGTTCTATCCCACTAACAATAGGTAATTCAACCTTAAATTTAGAATTTAAAGAGATATTGAAAGGTCTATCTAAGCTAGACGTCCTGTCATATGACCGTAACCTAGGGTCATATATTTCAGTATCTTCATCAGAGCTAACCTCATCATTTATTCTTGCTGATTGACTTCTGGGCAAATAACAATCCCCTTTATCTGATTTTTCTCATATTTTTAGGGAGTTCCTTTTAAACATTTGTTAGAGTCTGAGTCAAACAATTATTATTTTTCATACTTTCAGACATAACATTCTTGACTTCTGATACAGAAATATGAGCATTAATTTCTGGCAGCCTAAAATCATTATTGTCAACATTGATATCTGTATTCAGCCTTTCTGCATTAATATGTGACCCTGAAATTGAACCATTAATAATATTTGGCTGCACTTCTAAATCAGAAGACAAGTGTTGTTGCACCCTATCTTGATCAGGAGTGCTTTCTGGTACTTCATTCTTATTTTGCTTCATCCGTAAAGACTTCCTGGTTCTACCCATCTTTAATTTTCTAACTAAAATAAATCAATGTCAAGAATTTTCTTTTACTTCAAGAACGAGTTCGTATCTCCGGATCCAAGGTTCTACCTGTTTCTTCAAATTACCTTTTGATAAAACAAAATTTGTATTAGAAAAAAAAATCTTATTTATCTTTTTAATTAAAGTAGCTTCAATAATTTATGACAAAACTTCTTGTAATCATTTATTCCTTGCTTCTTTTATAATTAATTGATATAATATATATCTCTATGGCACTTTGAATATAAAGATTTCAACAATTTTCTAGTTTTAAGCAAATTTCGTTTCAAACATCTCTAGGTTGAACTAATTCGAATCCCACATCTGACACCAATTGTGACGGCACGGCTTAGTGGTAATTTTAACTACATTTTTAGTCTGTATTACGTTCGTTTGACTTCGAAATAAAGTTACCAAATTGAAACTAGTTAACCAAAGAAGATGGGCAAGACTAAAGGAAGTTTTCATATTTTATTGATGCTTCAAGAGAACATGTTAATAATTAGATAAGGGAGCAGCCATTTGAGTTATACTCTGTACTAAACATTTATATTATAATGGCTACTGCATATGGAGAAATATCGGAGAAATCTCCACTTGACTCAACTGGCTTTCA